AAACTTGACTGATAGCCTGTAATCAAAACTGTTATTTGTGGTTTGGATTTTATTTGCTAGATGAGTCATGTTTGTGAATGATCAGAAAATGACATATTGGTCATTTGGTATTCCCTCTTGCCAAGGTTTCCACTTCTGGAACATCTTTTGGAAAGATGATGGGTTTAAAGGCTAGACCATAACCAGTCATCTGGCCTATAATCTTCTTCTCCTGCAAGTTACTGAGGTTGAGCCTATTCTACTATACAATATGCTTCACTTCTTCAGTTGCTGAAGTCTAGGTTTGGAGTAAACAGTTACTTTAAAAGGATATTTCTAAGGTAGGATAAAGATACATGAAGTGTATGTGGGGTGTTGGAATGATAGAACTCCTTCAGTGATTTCACAAGACTCGGGGCGGTAAGTCCTCCATTTGTGGCAAGGTTGGTTTTATATAGCTGTTGTGAAAACAGACATTATTCCCAATGTGTGTATCCTCAATCTATTCATTGTTGATGGTTAGCATATGTATTAGGGCTTTTTTACAATTTTTTTTTTTTTTTTTTTGCATCACAAGAATTTGGTTCCAAGTGAAATCTTGGGTAGAATAAACCCCAGGCTATCAAAATGATATTGACAACCCAGCTACGATGCAGCAGAAGTGTTGGTATCCTGAAGTCTTTTGAAGGTTGGGGTCATAATATCTCTCTATGCTTTTTGGGACTGGTCATGGCACTTGGCACTAGAATCATGTTTTCCTGTATTGCAGAGAGCTATAGCTTATCAGTAGCTTCCAGACTTCCCTGGGAGGTGTGCGTTATTTATTGAAGAGACTGGAGTGCTTTTTGTGTCTCACTTTGTTAAAGACTTTCCCTCCCAAGATCTAATGCTGCCTGTTTTAATCAAGCAGGGCTTCATCATGCTATGAACTCTCTATGCTGTCTCTGCTTACTTCAGCATCCCTGGCACCATGGCCAGCAGGAAGTAATCTGCTGCTAGCATTATACACTGTCCTTCAGCTGATGGTGTTTTAGCTTATGTGACAGATTGCCTTTCCAAGTATTTGACTAAAAACACTTTATCAAAGTATTCTGAAGAATGCTCCATGTTTTCTTTTTTCCATAGCATGGATTATTTCCATAATTAGTTTTTTTTTTTTTCCCCAGAGCACCACTTATTTCTCATGTTTGTCTGTCTTCCATCTGCTAGAATGTAAACTTCACAAGGGTAGGGATCTCAGTCTGTTTTCCTCACTGATGTAACGTGACTGTCTAGAATAGTACTTGGCATGTAGTAGATTCCCTGTAAATAGTTGCTGAATGTTTGTGGCCCAACATATTTGGCATAGGCTGAGCTATGCCCTACCTACTCTAGGCTATGGTGATTAGGCCTAAGAGCCTCTGGGTGCCAGACTCTTTCAGTAATTGCCATCTTCACCCAGAATATAGTTTCATTGAAAAGTTTGCCCTCAAATATGGTCCCTGGTTGTGACTGACACTAGATGAGGAAGTACTGACGTAACTGCCTTTTTAATACAGGTAGACAGCCCTACCTAAGTCCATGTTTGAAGATGAATTTTTTATAAAACAGGGTAGACTGGGTTAAGATATGTTTTAATCTGGGCTGCTATAACAAATTACCATAGACTGGGTGGCTTAAACAGCAAACATTTATTCCTCACAGTTTCAGAGGATGAAAGGCTAAAAACAGGATACCAGCCCAGTCAAGCCTGGTGAGGGCCCCCTCCCAAGCTGAAGACTGCCTACTTCTTGTTGTATCTTCACAAGGTAGAGAGAGAATGAAAAAGCTCTCTGGAGACCCTTTCATAAGGCTACTAATCCCATTATGAGGGCTCCACTCACATTATCTAATTACTTCCCAGAGACATCACTTCATAGTACCATCACATTGGGGTCAACATATAAATTTTAGGGGAATACATACATTCATTCCCCTCCAGGGCAGGCCAGGATGGGGGCAGAAATAATATTTTCAGTTATTAGAATACTATAGATGTTACTGGGGATCCAACTAGTCCCTTTTCTTGCATATAGAGGTCAATTATTTTAGCTGGATTGTGTAAAATTGAGTGATGGACTGCTTATATCTTCTTGCATACACAAGGGCTATTGGATGCCCTTGACTGTTGGAGAGTTTCCCACACTTAGAGACTGAAATAGAGTCCCTCCCCTCTCTACTTGTTGATGACCTAAAATTCAACCTCTGTACAATCTCGTGCATTTCTAAAGGAATGCCATGTTTCCAAATGCAGAGAACAGAGGCTCACACAAGTCCAATCTAAAGAAAAAGTTACAATATATCTCAAGTACATTATAGTTCCTCAGCCTAGAGATTTAAGTACTGACCTGTTAATGAACATCTAGAAGAAGTCACTTCTGTGTCTTGGACATACCTGTGATCCCCATCTAGAGGAGATCCTATATACCTCGGAAGTCCAGCTTCATGAAACGTTACAGAAAAGTGTCATGACCTTGAGCAGTGTATACTCAGTAACACTAGAAAAGCAGTAGTCCTCTGTTCTTTACCAGGAGTGTTTTTGAAGATGTCACTGTTATTCCCTCCTTTGACTTTTCTGCATTGGACCTGCAATCATTCATCTTTTTAATCAAGCTGTGAGTATAGAATAGAACTCTGCAGTGATTTAGTATGTCCTAGGAGTCATTATCATAGGCTTTCTGTATGTAGGAGGAGAATTTCAGCCTGTTTCAGTTTTTCAGATAAATAAGATAAAAAAGAAACCACTTGCCTGGGATTGCCATTAAACTGTAAACTCTTTGGCTTGTAAAATTAAGTGATGGATTGAGTTAGAATACAACCAATTTCTCCGCAGGTTAGGAGCAAAGAGTGGTCACTGGAGTAATCACAGAATTGACATCCAATCACTCCCTTCTGTCTCTTAAGTGGAGAGTCAGGTAAATTCTATATAATCTTATCCCCCATTCTGTATGAGAGACAGAAACTTCAGGAACATTTGAAGCTGGATGAAATGTCCTATGAAATCTATGTGGCTGTAATTAGAGCAGGTTGTCATCTGAGACTGTAAAGGATCAAGTAATCTAACAGTGTCTATTAAAGTTTTACCAGACCAAATGGTACAACAAATAAAATCAAGAATCCAGGAACCAGAGATGAAAGAGAAAGAACATGTAACTGCTGATTTTTCTGAGCCAGCTACACTCATGCATATATAGTGGGGAGGGGTAACCTACTTATGTAAATGTTCAGTGGTTGGGGGGATTCATAGATACACGCGTTATTCTATTGTTCTTGGGTCAGCTTCACGTTTTGTGTTCTGGTCAGTTTCCTGACCCCTTGGACTTGTGTCTAAAGAGACTAGCTGATGAAGTTTAAAAGCACAACTATAAGGCAGAGTCACATTAATTTAATTAATATAGAAAAAGTAGTGAAAGTTGAACATTATTTATGAGTTATGAAATATGTGGTTTTACTGTTAATATTCTATTTTAAAGTATATGTATTCAAGATATACTAGTAATTATATGTATTCAATATGTACTCTTTCTTTACTTCTGTTAAGGTTCTAAGCTAGGTCACAAAATATTAAAGTATAAAATACTTTTATCATCCCCCATAGTCAGTACTCGGTTGCATGAGAAGTAGTTGGTTTGAATGAAAAAAAAAAAAATTAATGAATAGGTGAGGGTGTTATTTTGGGTTTGAAACCTATCATAGAACTCACTGATGCAGTAATAATCATCTTTCTTTGCAATCAACATATCAATCAGTCAAATAATGTATATTCAAATTTGTTTCTTTCATTATCTGCTATTAAAATAAAAAGGTCTGATTCTAGAAAATCTTTTAAAAATATAAGTTAAAATAAGTACCCTCTCTTTCCCAGGGTTGGGAGTGGGGAATAGATTTGCACCTTTTTATTTGGCAAATTTAGATTTAAATGTGTTTTTTTTTTTAAATATCCGACTCGTGTGTACATTCATTCTTTAAGAAATGAAATAGATGCCTGCAATGTTCCAGGGCATTTAATAAATTTAGTATGGCATTGTCTTTTCTCAGCAAAAATTCAGATAAGAGATATGGCCATATAAATAGCAACTTCCCAGGGGTTCCGTTGGAGGAGTCATACTTACATGTGACAGAATTTGAAACATAGGACACCCTTAAATATTTATTACTATACTAGTTTGGCAGAAATTAATCACTTTGATACTCTTATAATTTCTCTTAGCATTGATTTAGGAATTTGGTTACTTTAGGTGTATTTATTACATTATAATAAGCTTTATAATAACTGTAGTCCATAATTTCCTGCAAATGGTGACTGAGACAAAAGCTTTTTTTGTTCATAGGAATAATACTTCATATTTTGCACTACATTTTCTACCCCTCACCAGGGTAATGAGTATCATGGAAATGAGCACCAGAAACTTTTGTATTATTTGTGCATGTGTCAGCAAATTCTACAGTCTGTTGTAGAAAGTCCTTCCCAAGGGAAGAAATCTTTAGCACCTCAGTCAGCCTTATTGAATGCAGGCCTCTCTGATCTGAATGTTTGTGTCCCTCCAAAACTAGCATGGTGGCATCCTAATGCCCAAGATGTTGATGTTAGAAAGTAGGGCCTTTGGGAGGTGATACGGTTGTGAGGGTACAGCCCTCATGAAGGGATTAGTACCCTTATAAAAGGACCCCAAAGAGCTCTCATTCTCTTTTCACCATGTGAAAACACAAGAAGTAGGCATTCTGCACTCCTGGGAGAGGGCCTTCACCAGAACAGGACCATGCTGGTGCCATGATCTTGGACTTCCAACCTTCAGAACTGAGAAATAAATGTTTGTTGTTTGTAAGCCACTCAGCTTATGGTATTTGGTTACAGCAGCCCAAGTGGATTGAAAGATAGAAATGAACAAATTTTGCTTAAATACATTCTAATTAAGTTTGGATTGAGTAAACAATTTCTCAGTTTATTTGGAATGAAAAACTACAAATACAGTTTTAAATGGCAGTCTTTGTGGTGTGCAAACATGGAGCAGTTGTCTTATGTAGAAGGAACAAGGTACTAAATTTGTCTTTGTGAGCACCTTTAGAGCTAAAGAAGAGGTATTACAATAATAGCAGTTAACATTCATTTAGTATTTGCTTTGTATCAGATACTTTGTATCAGACCAAAGACAGAATCTTGGTTTATTCTAGTTTATACAGTTAATTCAGTATCTTTGAGGTAAACTCTGAATCTTTAATACCACCTTCCTCAGACAGTAGCATCTCTGTGTCTGGTGTGGAGGGGAAAACTGGCCCTTCCCTTTTTTTTTTTTTTTTTCTTGAGAGAGTGGGTAGAGGTAAAGGTAGAGGGAAAGAGAGAATCTTAATCAGGCTTCACAACTAGCACGTGAGCCTGACGCGTCGCTTGATCTCATGACCCTGAGATCATGACCTGAGCCGAAATCAAAAGTGGGACGCTCAACGGACTGAGCCCCCAGGTGCCTTGAGGGGGAACCTTCCTATGTAAACTTGTAGCCACTGGTGGGACTCTTAGATACAAGCTCTTACTGTGGTCCTTGCTTCAGTTGAGGTTTTTGTGTTGTTTTGTTTTGTGTCCAGTTCTGCTAGGGTTCCTGATCCCTTGAACTGGTGTCTTAGAGAAATTGCCAGTGAATGTGTGGTTTGTACTTATGACTCGGTCAGGGACCAGGAATTCTCTCGTGCTGACATCTCAGAGGTAACCTACATTTTCTGTCCTGTCCCTGGCAGGTGAGCCTCACGGGTGCCTCACGGCCAGTCACTAACCTCACAGCAGGTAACCCCCACATCAAGCCTCATGACTGGCACTGCTTTCTGCTATGTGACACTTATGTGGGGTTGGGGACATTACATCTTCCCACATCACACAGGAGTCCAGAACACACAAAAGTACTAACCCTTACTCTCCTTTTCCTCACTGTGCTACCCTGAGTTGTTCTCTGTTGCCTCGGGTTGTTGCAGTCACCATTTATGGAGTTCCTGCTGTTTACACACACAGCCTGTTCACACATAGAGCTGTGCAAAATTGGGAGGTCCCATTTCTCTGATACCAGCCTTCCTCTCAACCTGTGGACAACCTCACATTCTGTTAGCCCGAAGTAGGAAGCCATGCCGTAGAAGAATGGGTCCTGGCAACTCCATATTTTACATCTCTTTTCTGACTCAGTTCCCTGGGAGAAGGGGGTGGGCTATCCACTCTCTTTCCATCTGGAAGGGATTATCCCCAAGTTAATGTTTCCTCCCTTCTGAGGAGGTAACCAGTCTGCTCTTTCACTCGAAGTCTTCAACAAAATAGCACCAAGTATTTTGGAAATCTAAAGTTATTTCAGGCCAGGGATCCACTTCTGCTTTGTCCTGGGGCCTGCTGAAACAGATAAACCTTCTGGACTCATTTCCTCATCTGGAACCTTATATCACTAGACCAGAGACCCTGTAGGTACCTTCAGGCAATCATAATCTAAGACTGAGATGTTTAAAATGCCTTCATAAAAAAGGTTTCTCTATATTTAACCATCCAAACTAATTTGCTCTTTTTAAATTTCTCTGGTTTTCCCTCCGTGTCTCTATGAATACATTTGAATAAATCATTTGTAAAATATGTTTTCTTTTTGTAATACTTAATCTTAGTATTATATACCCCTGGTTATAAGGTTATTGATTTGGAGGCCTAAGAAACAGAATTGTTGTTGACTTCTTAAAACATATAAATTGTTTATTTCATGAAACTATAAACTTTTTAGCTTAGTGAAATATTTTTCTTGTGGTTATATAAGAGCAAACTTTATATATGTGCTCAGGCGAATCTACTCAGTGATCCCATACGTGGTTATAGAATGAGCCACTCAGTGACTAAATAATTGCATATATCTTTGAATTATAAGTGTCAATTTCATTCTAGTAGTCATTGTTAGTTACCCTGTGCAATTGAAAACCCTTAAAAATATTATGACTCATGCCTTATAATATTCTTTCAAAAGTGTTTATTTTAAGGAGTGTATTCCTATGGAAATATTTTGGATTCTGGGACATAATGTACTTGTTATAGTAATTTTATGATTTGCACTGAGCAAAGGAAATTAGTACAGTCTTACATTAAGGATGGCATCTTTCATTCGTCCCTTATAATAGTGCTTCTGATTTAGAAAACTTTTTTGTTCCTAAAGCTGTTCCTTCCTTTTTTCACATTATTTCATACTAGAATTTGCAATATCCTGACAGGTTTCACATTTTCTGACAATATATATCAAGGCACGCTGATAAGCACTGTGAGAGTTGACTAGCCAGCGCTATGATTTGACTTAGGCAAGTAAGGCAGGTGAACACTGGCGTAGTTGGGCTGTGACAGATGTTTCATCTCTGATTTGTCAGTCTTATGAATAAGGCTTAGGCTAACCTTAATCTGGAAAGTCCACACACTTGGAGTAGACAAAGCACTTACATAGGCATCCAGGCACTTAGGAATTAGCCCCTATGCAAACACTCTTCTTAATTTAATTTATTACCACATAGTATTAGCAGTGATTCAAAATTTTACACAATGTTCTATGCTGGTTTCACCAAGGCAGCTAATAACTTACATGTCTAAGTGGTGTCTGTTGAAATAAACTTGGATTGGATGTAGAACTTGGACTTAGCTGCCACTTCAGGATATTTTAGTTTTAATTAAATGTCACAATCAAAATAAGTGATGAGGGAGCTGTGCTTGGTCTGGTAAAGGGACTCTGGGCTTACCTACCACGTAAGCACAGATTGTTTCACTCATCACTCAGTTGACATTTTCCAGACTAATTGGCATGAAGGGATATTTTTTACTTTTATTTACATTAAGTGATTTAAGAAAAAGGATATATTTTAAAATATGGTACAGATGGTCTTATTGTTTCCATGTTTATAAATATTAAAGTATTGTTTTACTTTTATTAGTAAACTATTTTGCTGAGTATGCTATGCGTTGAAGTTTATTTAAATTTGAAGTTTCAAAAAATAAATAAATAGACAAATGTGGAGTTTCAACTTCTATATCTCATTCTAAACTTATTCCATGTTATTTAATTTCAGACAATGTATTTTGGGAAAAAATCATTTTGTCTGTTTTTACAACAAAAATATATTTGAATCTGCATGAACTTCATTTCACAAACATTTCCTCTTTGCTATGATTTATTCGTAATCTCTTGTAAGCCCAGATTTTTAAATGCTTGACATATGGGAGAATCTCAATACATAAGTGATTGATTTTTGCTCAGTGCTGTGGTTCCATGACATATGAGAGTGTAATGATCATAAAATATATTTCCTCAACATGATGGTCTTCCCAAGCTCATCATCTCTTGACATTTCTTTACAGACCTTCTCACTTTCCCTTGTACTTCTTCCTTTCTTTTTATCTTTATTTGCCCTATCTTTTCCTTCACGTGTTCTCTTTTGAACATCGGTTACTTCTTGAGTACCAGTCACTTGGATGACATTTTTGTACACTTCAATTCACAAGTAAAATGCATGTTTGGATTGAAACACAAATACCCACAACTACTGAATAATTCATGACAGCAAAACAGTTTACTCAAAAGGCACTTAATATGTGACTAATTTAATTTATGCAAATTTTTATAAATTTAGCAAGACCTAGATTCTCAAAAATAGAATAGTCTACAGAGAACAAAAGTAGATTTAAAACTGCTTTTTATTCAATTTCGCCAACAGAAACATTCATGGAGAAATATGAATAAATATTTTCATTTGCAGGACACCTGGGTGGCTCAGTTGGTTATGCGTCTGCCTTTGGCTCAGGTCATGATCCCAGAGTCCTGGGAATGAGTCCTGCATTGGTCTCCCTGCTCCACGGGGAGCCTGCTTCTCCCTCCGCCTCCGCCTGTCTCTCTGTCTCTCATGAATAAATTCATAAAATCTTTAAAAAAAGAAATATTCAATTGTTTTTGTTTCATTTCCTATAGTATCACTTCATGTATGCACACTTTTAAGTTTTTATTTAAATTCAAATTAGTTAACACGTAGTGTAATATTAGTTTCAGGTGTACAATATAGTGATTCAGCATTTCCATACGTCACCTGGGACTTATCACAAATGCAGCCCTTAATCCCCATCACCTAATTCACCCATCCCCCACCCTCCTCTCCTCTGGTAACCATCAGTTTGTTCTCCATAGGTAAGAGTCTGTTTCTTAGCTTGCCTTTCAGTAAGTAAGATTCCTTGAGAGTTTCTATAATTACTAGGTAAGTGCCTTAGTTCTCCCAACTCCCTCAGTGTGAAGGCCAAGGAATAAAAGTGCTTGCTTGAAAAATGTTACAAGTCATTGTACCAAGATAAATCAATGCCTTAAGTTCTCTCTGCATGTCTGTTGAATTTTAAGTGAATCCAACTCTGCTTTGTGTCAGGCATATAGTAGACTGATTAAGTTGTCAGTTTTTAAACCTCTGCAAGTGACAAACTGGCCATTTTAAATGCCGTTGTTAAATGTTGTATCAAATTGCAACGGGCTCTTGGGCCCCTCATGGAACTTAGAAATGCCAGTGACTTCATTATATTTATATTCCTATAAATTGAGAAAGTCTCTTTTGATGGGGCACCTGGGTGGCTCAGTTGTTAAGCATCTGCCTTCGGCTCGGGTCACGATCCCAGGATCCTGGGATAGAGCCCCGCATCGGGCTCCCTGCTCGGCGGGAAGCCTGCTTCTCCCTCTCCCGCTCCCCCTGCTTGTGTTCCCTCTCTTGCTGTGTCTCTCTCTGTCAAATAAATAAAATCTTAAAAAATATATTCAAAAAAAGAAAGTCTCTTTTGAATATCTGCTATTTGATATGCATGCTTAATTATTAATTTACGCTTTGTTATGATAGCAGTTACCTTTGTTAAAATGTTCCCTGTTTTCTATTTTGAGAAATAAGTTTCATTTAGGAAACAAATTGCACTTCCATATATTCCCTTCATTAGCTCTTCTCCTGATATTCTTTCTCACGTTGGTGACGCTTGTTTCATTGAAATAGAAAACCTTAATATCTTTGACTTTCTCCTTTTTTCACCAATTTTCTAATTGATCACAGAGGTAACTCCTATTATGATCTTTATTGTTACATACATTCCTGTCTTTCCATATTTTTTGCCACCAGCCAACCCAGATACTCAACATAATATACTCGAAAGTGCTTGTCCCCTTAATTCAGTTGTCAGTCATCCTATCTTCTGCCTAACCTTTACTAAATGCCAATTTTGTCATGTCAGTATCTATTTATAAATAATTAATGAAGGAAAATTTAAGGTTTGATATTTACCATGGCTTTTGAGATCCTCCAATGTCTTTTCAAAACTATTTCTCCAATGATAATATATTATCAATGTTATATATGAAGTTAACCTCCTCTATATTGATCTCCTAGCAATTCTCTGAATGTTCCTTGAATACTTTTGCCTTATCTGGAATGTCCAGGAGCATATACATTCCTTATTTGGAATGTCTACCTTCTTTCTGTCTATTACAATATCTATCACATCTTTTTCAAATTTTATTGCCCTCTGTGCAGGCTTCCTGATTATAAATCTCATGATGGCCATAATTGATATATGCCATCTTGTTTTATCATTTATCATTTTATGTAGTGTTAGTCTTTCCAAATAAATTGTAATTCCTTTGACATTTGGAACTGTGGCTTATTATTTTTGTATACCATTGCATTTAAAAAAAGTGATTTGCAAATGCGTATAGTTAATAAATACTGATTTTTGTAGACAATTTTTAATTTACCTAACTCTATTTTTAAGGTTGATATTACATGGATTTCCTTGAGAATAATTTACAGAGGATGTAAATTTACCATAGCTCCACTTCTCAGTCTATGGGTTAAAGCTTTTTCTTACTTTAAGAATCTATCATGAAGCGGGTGCCTGGCTGGCTCAGTCAGAAGAGCATGTGACTATTGATCTTGGGGTTGTGAGTTTGAACCCCATGTAGCTGAGGTGTAGAAATTATTTAAAGAAGAAAAAAAGAATCTATTATGAAGATACTGGCATTTTTTCAACTATTCAACCCTAATTCTAATACAAAAAGATAGTTTATTGATTGATTTATAAGGAATGCCATTATTTAATCAATAATGGCCCTTATAGGAAATGAATGTATGAAATATTATACCCTTCATGGGTTTCTTTAAAGTTATTATATCTATTCCAAATACATAAAAGTAAGACATCAAAATGAGATTGTTCAGCATCAGTGAATGCCATTTTATTTTCAAATTCCAGTCCTAAATGGAAATTGTAATTAGAAATGCTTATTATTATTTTTTCTAAATGAAATAAAGGCCTCATATTACTATCCACTTTCATTTTTTTGTGTGTAACCAAAAATGGAGAGATTAACTAGGTGGTATCAAATGTATCAGTCCTGTCCACTTTTCTCTGAGCACAACTTTTGATACTACAGAACTTTAATTTTCTTCTGACATTTAGGTCCAAAATGAGACTGTTCGAGGTGGCTGTGGGTCAAGAACGATTACAGGAAACTCTGGATGTTAAATCACTAGAGCCATGATTAAGACATGACCTTAAATTTTAGTTCTCCAGGTTTTTCCTAATATGCACGTTTTAATGTATCTGTAGAGGTCCATTAGAGCAAATCTAGCCTTTGGGAAATATGTATTTTCTTTATATACTTTAACACCTGAATTATAGCAATGTGTCTAGTCACCAAAATGTCCATGAAAAATATGGTCTTGATTAATGGGTGAATTGATAGTTTTTACTGAATGAAAAATTAACCAAGTATTTTAATACAAATTAACTAATTAATTTCAGGCTCAATTTCATTTTATTACAATGAATAGGTTATTTATTATACCCATCAGCAAATCAGTGTAAAATTATCCAGAACTATATTTAACATATAAAGTGCTTATATCCTTCAAGTTTTGTCTTTTCTATAAACTTTTCCTTAGAAAAGCAAATTTACTACAAAGACCAAAGATGGAAAGTATTTAAATAATAAGTGGCAGACATTTCTCAAACTGTCTGATATCCTTAAATTCTTTTTAAGGCAATGAAGTCATCCTGCAATTTGATACTGTCAATAATGTCAGTGTTCTATCCATACTGTACAATAAGCTCTTGGTAAGTGTTTATGCATTGTTCTGCCCTGTATTCATATTTTATCAGTTTAATTAAAGGAGAGACAGAAGTGAGGTTGATGAGCCTTCACTTTTAGAAATTTACATTTTAATAGGTAGAGAAGTTAATATAAGTAGCTATTATGTAAGTTTCATTCATTTAATGAAAATGCCTACTGATTGGGGCACCTGAGTGGCTCAGTTGGTTAAGCGACTGCCTTCGGCTCAGGTCATGATCCTGGAGTCCCGGGATCGAGTCCCACATCAGGCTCCCCTGCTCAGCGGGGAGTCTGCTTCTCCCTCTGACCCTCTTCCCTCTCGTGCTCTCTATCTCTCATTCTCTCCCTCTCAAATAAATAAATAAAATCTTTAAAAAAAAAAAGAAAATGCCTACTGATCAAAGATACTTATTTGTTGATACCATAGAGGAAGCTATTAAAGAATGTTTTGTACAGTTATTGATATTTTACTCTTGCTTTGAAGATAGAATATAGGCAGCCATGTGGACATGTGAGAAAGGGAGAGAAAAGCAGAGGAAATAGCTTGAGTGAATCCATAGTGGCAGGAAAGTAAAAGAGTCCATGAAAAAGGTCAGGGATGATTCATTGTGGTTGTCTGTAGCTGCAGAGCATCGGGAAAGAGTAATTGGAAATAAACATGGAAACGCAAGTTTTCTTTCAATTAAAATTTGTATAATAATTAATTGGGCTAAGCAAATCCACTTTGAGGACTTTTGAAGCAGGCAGGTGAAATTAAACAGTTTTAGAAACTTATGCATGCAGAAGCCTAAGAAATACTTACTTCATGGAAAGAGAGATTGAAGAGATAAAAGTCAGAAAAAGAAATATAGAATCTGATATATCACTATCTCAGATTAAAATAAACATCTCACATTAAAATTAAGGAGTACATGTATTAGGGGAAAATTGTTTGAAATAAATAAGAATGCAAGCAAATGATATTTCAGAGGCTATATCTCCAAGACTTGAAAATTGATTGATGATGCCCAAAAATGGACTACAAACAGTGAGCAATTTTTGGTGGAAGGGAAATGAATTTGGTTTGCACTCAGAAAGTTTGAAATTAAAATATGCTATCCAACTGAATTCTAGCTGAGGTTGGAAATCACAGGACTGGGTTTGGAAAAGCACATACTAAAGATCCAAAGAGAAAAGGAAATGGGATAATATCTTAAAAGAGAAAGAAAAGGGAGGAAAGAAAGAAAAAGTGGAACAGAATGGCAATTCCCTTTTTATTTTCAACCATATAATGTCTTTTCTGCCTCCTTCCCTTCTATCTGTTGGGTATGCCCAGATCTTCCCCAATTTACAAAACCCCTGACCACATGCCCATTGTGGATCCCCAAAACCTCAGCCATCTCTTCATATTCAAGCTTACTGTAGGGACAGTCTTAATTTCCTTAACTTATGCAATTTGCCTCTGTTGACCCCATCACACTTAAACTAAATTCACCTGAGGAATTAGTTACTCTTCAGAAGGAAAAGTCCTCACTGGAACTGGCCTTGTTTATAGCTTTTAGATAACTCTCTTGCCCCTTGGTTCTACTAGTTTTCTTCCTATTCTATCTAACTTAACCTATTTGTCTCTGAAATATCAGACTGACTTGACCACTTGTTGACCCCTATAATGTGCCAAGCACTCTTTGAGAATTAAGGAATTATGAATAAAAATGGGCCCAGACTGAGGGGAGAGAAGAAAACCATGTAAGCCCGCCTGTTTCCGAAAGAGGTATCCTGAAAAAGAAGGAATTTATTATTTGATGATGGGGAGTCAAGGAAACGTATTTTAAAGAGCTTAAACATGTCCAACAAATCTTCCTTGATAAATATTTTCTTCTTTTTTCATGTTTTTGATTTTATATTTCATTTCTTTAAATGTTTTCAATATAGTTAAGTTACGTTCTGAGTCTAATTCCATTTTTTGAAATTTTGTGGGTCTGTTTATCGTTTTGGATGTTTTAGTTGACTCTTGCTCGCAGTGCCTTATTTCACCATGGTTTTTTATGACAGAATATGAGTTTAGGTTGAAGAGAGCTTAATTTATAAACATCTTGGGCAGTGTGGGCTAATGATACAGTTCCTCAGAAGGGGATTATGTTTGTCCACCACTTAGCTGTCAGCCCTACATGGGGCACTGCTTTTTTGTTTAATTTCTCAGCTTGGAGGTTCCCAAAGAATATGTGTTTATAATTAAATTCCCAAACCTGGGATATGGCAGAGTGTGGTTAATCTATTTAAATAGAAACATTTCCCCCCTCCACAGGCCAGGAGAGTCAACTGTCTTTATCACTGCCCTTTTGCCAGTAGGATGATTTATTCTATACCCTTCTCATACTAAGGGTGAATTTTTTTCTGCTCCAGTGTTAATCTGGTGTTCGATAGCACCCACTTTTATAGACAAGTTTTGACCCCATCTTTGTGCATTCTGGGCACCTTTTGCTTACTATAATCCACAGATTTCTGGTATCACTTTATACTCTGATTTTTAGATTTTTCTTCATTATTCCCCCCTTGATGCTCCATTAATTTTCTGAAAGCTCAGCTATACGTATCTGGAAGTAAGGGGTGGAGGGATGGGTTTTGGAATGCGGTCACACTATCTTGTCTACCATATTATTAGAAATATAAGTCTTTCAATTTGTATTAAAATATAATTCTAATTATCTTCTAAAATTTTAGAATGTTCAGCTATTTTATTTCAAATTTGACAACAAACTTATTGAACATCTCCTCTATTTTATTACCATTGTGCTGGTTCCTTCACTTAATTTATTTATCTTGTCAAAATAGTGTTCATTCACATTTCTTATGCAATGTTTTTCTTCTTTTCATGGAAATATTTTAGTAGGTAATCAAAATGTAGTTTATACTTTTATTGTTATGATGACAGTGTAGGATATACTCTTTCAAACAAGGCTCCAAATGTTGGGCAAACATTTTTTGTAGTTATTGCCCAATGTGGTAGCACATATATAACCAAGAATGTAAACATGGAAAAGTATGAATTCACTCATTTACATGACAAACAAATTTCAACATGCTTTATTAAATAAGTCCTGTATTTAGTCTGGTTGTGAGTTGCATACTAATGTAACAGACATAATGTTTGATTGTATTTTATAATTAGAATGTATTTTATACAACTTTCATTTCTTTTTACAGGTAATAAAAATTTACAGGGAAAATAATTGCTATTTGGATCGTGTAGTTTATAGATCATGTAACAAAATCTTAGAATTCATGTTGAAAGCCATACTTAATTATGATTTAAATTTTTTTTTCAGCTCTTCTTCAAGTGACAATTTCACTTAGCAAAGTAGAGCTTAGTGTGGGCGAATCTAAATTCTTCACATGTACAGGTATGTATCAGATGTACAAGTATTTTCAGATGATAACTCGTGTTATGCTTTATTTAATATTATATACTGGCAAAATTTAGATGGTGAAAAACAATTCTCTGAAAATGAAACCTTATATTATCATTGGGCTTATGAGGTTGGGAAGTGTTAATAACTATATTTTGCATGTTAAAAAGTATGAATTTTATTTCTGTTAATTTCAAGTTATTAATTTTGACTGTCAAACTAGCTCATTTATTTTGAAAATAATTATCAACTGTAATGTATGCACAATAACTTAAACAAATTCAAATATTATTCCTGTATAAATAGTAATATTAGGATGAATGTAAATATTATAACTGAATTACCTTCGTAAATATGCAATGAATAAATTAGATATAGCACACTGCTCTATAGTTACACCTGAATGAAAACTTTGGGACAAAGCAAATCAAATCCATCCTTATGAAAATTGAATTTAAAAAAAGTTGATATTTAATCAGCAAAACTTCTGCAAGAATTTTGTGACTATTAATCAAACTATCATATATCGTAATAGCTGTGGGAAATTTTATGGACCTCATTTAGTTTGATCATGCACATGCAGAATTTTTTCAGAAGACATTTAAATACTTAAGCAACAAATTCTAATTCAGAGTACTGTAGAGCTCACAAATGCACATATTCGACTTCTATTTATATTTATAAAATTCATTTTTATGCATACAAGCCTTCATACCTAAAATTTTAAATAATGTTCATCTAGAGCCAAAATTGCTTTTTAGGGTATTTTAAAATTGTTGGTGTTCCTGATTATGCTTAAGTAACACAAAACTGGATTAAAATAGGCATTTCTGACATAAAATGCATTATACAAGTCTTGAGAATTACATGGCTTATTTAAATTATTATTAAAATTAATAAAAACAGAAATAGTCATAACATTTATAAATCACATATGCCATATTATAATACACATACTATAGACATTATGTATGTATAATATCACATTTTATGAAAAACTCATAGAAGCTATGATTCTTCATATGTTTGCCTTCCTAAAGGTCTGAATTGATAGGTCTGTGGATACATAGTTTTGCATATTGACAAATAGAAAGACAGAGAGCAAATGAGATACTGATTCAACATCGTTTATTATGTCAGCAGAGCTTTGGCGTAAGAATGTAGATCATTGTTTTTAAATCTCATCTGTATTTTATATACACAAATGCACACATGCACACACACAGCTCAATTGTGTCACATATTCACAGAATAATGAAGTAGTTTAAAAATGAATTTTGAAAAAATGAAATTGTTTTTCTTACATTTGTATATCACAATGATTTAGGTTATATAAGTTATATAATATTATTACCTCTGTAATAGGTCAAATTAAGACATAATTTAAAATTTAAAAGAATGAATTAACATCATTTAGTGTACTAAATTTTGCTGGTAAAATAAGGCAAAATAATGAAACATTTCCTTTTCCTTATATACAAGAGCCATATTGTTGTCATGTAAGTGGCCTTATATATATGAAATAGAGTAGTAAAACAAGATCTAAAAAAAAGATGTGCGAAACCCCTGCAAATCAGAATGCTTTCATGTATTTTTCCTACTACAACGCTGACCAAGTTGCTATGACTCTGAAGTTTCCTGATACACTAAAACATAGACATTTAAACTCAATAAAATAAATGTCTTAAATTTACACTATCAGGTGGTCAGACCCTCACAGAGCTAATAAGAGTATGTCATAAATAGCAAATGAATTTGTATACCACATTTTTAAGAAAATAAAAATTTTACTGTTATTTATCAGTATCTCCAGTAGTCTAGTCTTAATAAAATAACATGGAAAGTTTCACTGGAAATTATTATTTGTTAGAGATGTCATAAAAAGACAATCATGGGGCGCCTGGGTGGCTCAGTTGGTTAAGCGACTGCCTTCGGCTCAGGTCATGATCCTGGAGTTCCGGGATCGAGTCCCGCATCGGGCTCCCTGCTCGGCAGGGAGTCTGCTTCTCCCTCTGGCTGCCGATACCCCTGCTTGTGCTCTCTCTCTCAAATAAATAAATAAAATCTTTAAAAAAAAAAAAAAGACAATCATGACTGACTGCTCTATGAAAATCCAGTATAAACTCTCCATGATAATGAAATTTTATACCATATTATTAAGAAAAAAAATGCCGAAAATATTTCACAGAATGTCCAATATAATTTACTGTATAAAATGAGTTTTGTACTGTTCAAACTTAAAGTGCTGCTCATTTAAATTATTCGTTTGTAACTTCTGTAGGGAGAGGAGAATCAAAGCAAATACGTCCCGCAAATGAGTCATCCTATAACCACTATGGTTTTATGGTTCTGTCCAGAAAGAACTGAAGATAACATAACTAAGATCCATTTAAGATTTAACTAAACTGTCTTTCATACTTTTTGCTCAAGCATGTCTACTTTGATATGGAAAGCACAATAATTTGTTTCTAAAGCCCCTTCTTGAGGAAAAAATAAGAAGGAACAATGTTTTTCAAAGTGGTCCTGCAGATGTTAGTTAACTTTATGCATTTTCACCTGACACTTTTGAGTTAGTAGTGTATACTGCTTCCACAAATTATCTCTCAAGTAATTAGGTGAAATACATCCTTTTGGTGAGTAAAAGCAAACACTGGAAGCTTCAGCTTTTACGAAGAGTATAATAACCTGGATTTTGAATTGAGAAAAATAAATGTTTACCCTGTAATGATTTGGTTGTAATTGCCTAGCAGTATAAGTATCATTTCAATGCATTCTAATTATCATATGATTAAATAGTTAACAGTTTTAAATTAAAATGATGAAACACTTCATTTCAGTTGAGAAAAGAGATTAGGGCTCCTTTTTAAAAAATAAATTAGCTTTATCTGTACAAGTTTAACAACTTAGGAAATTAATTCCAAATTCGATATTATCAAAGCCAAAGTTTATTTTGTATAGGATTTACATTGTTATAAGCTTTGCTTTATCGGAGAGAAAAGTCCTATCTACTGACCCTGGCAAAGAGAATTGGGAACAGGTGAAATCATGTTAGTAATCATGTTTCTGTTCAGATATATCGATCACATTTAATTTATGTCTGACTCAGTGGCCAAGGCAGTTTTATAACTTAACTATAGTAATAATTCATAGATTGCTATGATAAAGTTTCAACTATCAGAGCTTAAATACCATACTGTTAGTTTCCTGTAGAACTTTTGGGTTTTGCTTACACAAACAGGACTGAATTCTCAACATTGGATAAATAAGGATGAGCATGTGTGCTAACATTTGTGTTTACTTTCAATTTTGTAAGATTTTTCAGTTTACAGCCTTCTCTTATTTACATTTTTTCCCAAAATTGTTAAAAGTTGTCACATAATAGTAAATGTCAATGCCAAAACAAACATTTGAAACGTATTTTCAAACATTTATTTTTCATGGCTATTTGCAGCAATTGGTGAACCTGAGAGTATAGATTGGTATAATCCTCAAGGAGAGAAGATAATTTCAACACAGAGGGTAGCAGTGCAAAAGGAAGGTGTTAGATCACGATTAACCATCTACAATGCAAATATAGAGGATGCAGGGATATATCGTTGTCAAGCAACAGATGCCAAAGGACAGACACAAGAAGCTACAGTTGTTTTGGAAATTTACCGTAAGTCATGCATTTATTGGTTGATTGAAATGTGGTTGTATAAAAACTCGAACAAAAAAATGCATTTAGGAGCACCTGGGAGGTTCAGTCGGTTAAGCGGCTGCCTTCGGCTCACATCATGATCCCAGGGTCCTGGGATCAAGCCCTACGTCAGGCTCCTTGCTCAAGGGGGAGCCTGCTTCTTCCCTGCCTGCCGTCCACCCTCTTTGTGCTTGCTCTCTCTTTCTCTCTCTAGCTCTCTCTGTGTCAAATAAATAAATAAAATCTTTAAAAAATGCATTTAATAAAAACTAACACTCATGAAGAACTATGTGCTAGGCAATGTCCTAAGACCATTACAAATAGCAGCTTATTTATACTTTACCAGAGTGCATCTCTAAAATAGAATAGATAATAGGAAAGAGTTTATTATAAACACATAGATGGAGCCAATTCTGTTGGTTAAACAGCAGAGATGAAAATATTTTAATATTCTCAAGCCATTAAAAATCTGTTGGGTAACTAAAGAACAGTAGATTATTATGAAATTTATAGGGAGTACTTTTTCACACTAAAATAAAAGGTCAGGATGAGAACAAATGAAATTACATATATGATAGCAGCGACCAGTCTAGAATGAGAATTGAGGAAGGGTCAGTGAACAGGGGTAGACACAGAAAAAAATGAAAACTCATCTAGTGGAGAACAATATCTAGCTGGATTCTTCACCATCAGAATATTCATTAATAGAGTTTTCCACACTTACACTTCATCTTATGACTTGAGATTGACTGCTTTCTATATTCCTTCCCCCTTCTTACATTTAGGAATCATTAGCCCTTTTTTTTTTTTTTAAAGATTTATTTATTTATTTTTTAGAGAGAAATGTCAGGGGGCAGACAGAGTGGGAGAGACAGTCTTAAGCAGACTCCTTGCTGACCAGGAAGCCTGACACAGGGCTGAGCAAGGAGCCCGACACAGGGCTGAGCAAGGAGCCCGACGCAGGGCTGGATCATGACCTGAGCCTACACCAAGAGTCAAACACTTCACTGATGGCACCACCCAGGCACCCCAGGAATCATGAACCTATTTAAGAACACATTAAAGCCTGTTGACTCCCTAGGCTTGAAACCAGGCTCTATTACTTATTTTTGTGGCTTTGAGCAAATGCCTAACCTCTCTGTTTTGGTTTTGTCAGCTCAGTCAGTTAAGCCGCTGCCTTCGGCTCAGGTCATGATCCCACGATCCTGGGATGGATTCCCACATCGGGCTCCTTGCTCGGCAGGGAGCCTGCTTCTCCCTCTGCCTGCCTCTCCCACTGCTTGTGTTCTGTCTCTCTCTCTCTGACAAATAAATAAAATCTTAAATAATAATAATAATAATAATATTACTTACGTCATATGTAGAGTTGTTTTGAGCACATTAATCAATATTATATAAAGTGCTTTAGAACAATGCCTTACAATTAATATGTGATAGTATTTCTACCCATATTAATGAAAAATATGTGAAAAACTATAAAACTTTTAAAGTACTAACTCAAGGCATCTCTTCCTGACAGCTTTATTATTATTATTATTATCATTGTAGAAACAAGACATGAAAAAAAAGGCAAAGCATTCCCACAACATCACTTCCTCTTTGATGCCCAGTGCAATTTGTTGGCACATTACTGCCCTCATTTCTCCTGACTTTGCCCTTACTCCTGTTAATTTCAAAGTTCCTTAAGAAAAGATAGTGTAACTATTTATATCCCTACAGCACCTATTTCATAAATAGAAAAAAAAATAAATTGAAGTGATCATTTCCTAGACATAGTATTTGGAAAGATTTTGCATTGCTTTGAATGATGAAAAGGAAGGTGCCTGGTGTTTTGTTTGTAAACTAAAGAAATGGCTTTTTTCCCCGCAAGAATAATGAATTACTTTTGTGAAAATTTCTCAACAAGCATAAATATCCAAGTTCATTCATTCATTTGACACACTTATTGGGTGTCTACTAATGACAGGCAATATTCCAAGTCCTAGACACTCAGTAAAACAGAAAATGTCACTGGCCACTTGGTGCTTATTATTTTATTGAGTAAAGAAAGACAAACAATGAATGAACTTAGAAAAACACATGGATACTAGATATACACGCTATTGAATTCTGTAGTGAAGAAAGTTAGTGTGGTAAAGAGAGGGAGAGTTGAATTGGGAAGGGAGAAGGTTATTTTATCTGTGAAGGTGGAGCAGAGATCTGAAGGCATTCAAAAGAGCACAAGGCCCGAGGATGAGAACAAACGTGGAGTGTTCAAGGGATTGCAAAGAAGACAGTTTGTCTAGATCACAGGGACTAGGAAAAGAAAGAAGAAATTGGGATCAGAGTTGTGGGGCTGATTCCAGTTCACCCAGGACCTATTATCGCATTGTGAGGACTTTGAACTTAATTCTCAGTGAGATGGGAAGCTCTCAAGTAGAGGAATTATGTTATCTGGCCTAAGGTTTTAAAAGATCTAGAGTTAATGATTTTATCATCTCATCAATCAGCACATATTTTGGAGTATGTTACCGGGAGAAGTGAGCAATAATACTTTTGTGGTGTGTTTTACTTTCTTAATACAGAAAAACTCACTTTCAAAGAAGTGGTATCACCTCAAGAATTCAAACAAGGAGAGGATGCAGAAGTGGTTTGCCGAGTTAGCAGCTCACCTGCCCCTGTTGTCAGCTGGTTGCATCATAATGAGGAAGTCACCGCTATTTCCGACAGTTAGTATTTTGGTAACTCCCTAAATTATATGTTCTCATAATATTGCAATTTTTAAAAATACTGAATCTACCTGACTGCATATAGAAATTTTATTTTTTGGATCCCAAGCATCAAACAACTGTTTTGAGAACCTTACAGCTCTAAAGTAGGAGTTGGCAAACCACGGACCTCAGGTTGAGTTTAGCCCCTATGCTGTCTTGGTATGGTCATGAGATTACAGCCAAACCCGACCGTTACATAGTGTCCATGGCCACTTTGGGGACAGGGTTGAGCAGCTGTGACACAGATGGTGTGGCCTACAAAGCCTGCAATACTTATCATTTGGAGATTTACAGAAAAAGTTTACTGACCCCATCCTATTCAAGAAAATTTTGTACAAACAATATAAAGATAATAAGTAAATGAAGGAATCAATCCTGATGCATTCAAATTCTACATGTTACAGTTCAAACATCATCCCCTGGGCTCATCTATGTAATCTTAAAATAATATCTATATGCACCCTGTTTATTATTCTTGCACTGTTCTTTCAAAAACACCTACATGCTCTAAATATTATGCTAAGATGCATATGGATAATAGACAGAAAAGTACATTCATTCAAATTGTCTTCATAATTTTGATTCAGACTGAGCTAAAATTCCAGAATAATATGACATCTGAAACTGAAAGCATAATTTGCTTACATTATGCTACTTTACCATTGTGCATTGGGAGCATTTTCAATTTTCAATGCACCTGCATTGCAGAGAGTTATGAAATAATTGAATCTTTTCAAATACTTTCCTTCTTGGATGATTCTGTTGTGTGTTTCTAAGAGCTAAAACTTATAGCATAAAGGAGAGAAAGCAGATAGTATCTATTTTTGAATATGTACAGGGAGCATATCATAATCATGTTTAATAGTCATTTTTTAAATTTTGAGACAATTTTTCTCATCAGCATTTTCAGCGCTTATCACTTATTGACTATCTCTCTTTTTTTCTATTATAATAAGTTAGTGAGAAATAATACTTTATTTCCTCTTATTTTATCTCAGGATAACTGCTTTATATTTCATTAACACATCACATGGGTACATTGTGCAATGTATTTTCAGCTATTTTTCCCTCAATAGTAAAGAAAAGGCAGTTCTTTTATAGCAGTTAAATGACAATGTCTAAACATTTTCAGATTGCCTCATCTTAGGCTTCAAGTGTACATCTGGTTTATTGCAAACCTTAATTACATGAAGGTTTTCAAATGAATTATAGTTTTTAAAAGACACAGAGAACAAAAGCCTCAAAGCAGAGATTGATAGTCAAGTGTGATGGTGATGGAGGAGCACTACTCTGTGCTACAGCTCACACATGTTTTCCCAGTGTCCAGGGACGAGATGATTTGAAGCTGGAATGCCATTATGGCTCTACTCTCCTTGGCCCGGAAGCTTTGAATTTTCTAACTGCTCTGTATCTAATTCAGATTCTCTCTCTGTAAACAGTGGGTTATTATCTCCAATTTCAACAATAGTTGTGAGTTTCAAATAAGACTTGAGGCACATAATAAATATTTGTTAAGTGAATGAATTAAATATTTGCGTGTATATCAGTTTCTCAACACAATGACATTTATCTTTCTCCTTCCTTCTCACTGTTTTTAAATTTTGAGAATCAGTGTTACCAGAATTATATGCACTCAGGTTATATCTAGAATAAAAAAAAATCCAATGCAGGGGGAAGTGACTAGTCTAGAGTAAGCATGAAACCTAGCTCTGAGTTGCAGGGCAAGGAAAGAAGAAAAATGATGTAATTATATTTTTCCTTTTTAACTCTAGGATATAAAGAATTTAGGTGAATTGTGAGGAAGGACAAACTTTTCTAACCTTTTAATATTGGAGGAACTCACCACATAGTTCATTGTTGAACAATTTGTACATTGATAATGGATTTATAAGAAATATTATTCTTCACCTGATTATACCTGATGGCCCCTTTATTTGAACTAATGGAATAAGATTAAGTTTATAACTATGAAAGGAACATGTAAGGGGACTTAGAATAATGTAGTGTGTCCAGGTAACTTTCTGAAGCCTTGATGTGGTACGTGAGTAGTTTGCAGGCTCCAGATGATATAATGAAGGTTTGGAAATGTCCATCTTATTAGCCATGCTTTTGGTAGCAGCTGTATGGCAGATATTTATAATTAAAATTCCAATAGGACATTTGAAGTGGAGGTTTTCCATGTTGCTTGTTGAAGGGAAGACACCTGCTAAAAAATCCAAACATTTAGGGAGTAAAGATGACATTTTGTTACAAAAGTTGAATATCCCGATTGGAGGGATATGCTATTGTAGATGCTCATTCAATCCCAGCCAGTTTGAAAGTTATCTCTAAAATATTCTAAATGCGGTCACCTGGGTGGCTCAGATGGTTAAGCGTCTGCCTTTGGCTCAGGTCATGATCCCAGGGTCCTGGGATCGAGTCTCGCATCAGGCTCCCTGCTCCTTGGGAGCCTGCTTCTCCTTCTGCCTCTCTCTCTCTCTCTCTTTCTCATGAATAAATAAATAAAATCTTAAAAAATAAAATAAAATAAAATATTCTAAATGCTTTGATCATTGCCTAATGAAGTACCCTGTTTGCATCAAAAACTATGGATAAAATAATCTTGTTCAACATTTTTTTATGTTATCTACTTCCAGTATAAAAATTCATTCAATTTTTAACTAGTTGTTGAAAACCTAGTATATGCCATCTAGCATACTGGATGGTGGGTAGTCCTAGTTAACAAGACAAACAAGTTTATTGCCTTCAAACGGCTAATAATCTAGTAGAAAAAGACTAATAAAGAAACCAGTGAAAACGAGGAATATTGAGGTCTATGAGAAGGAAAGTGCAATGATAGAGGATGATAAAAAAATAACGTCTCATCTAGTTAGGGCAGGGGAGGGTGTCCAAGATGCCTGGTGAAGAGAGAAGTAACCCTTAAATATGAAATGGGGTTAGCCAGGTAAAGAGTGGTGGGGACTTTTCAGGAGGGGAAAAACACCATCTGCAGCGGCCCAGAGGTGAAAGACACCATGAATGGTGCTTTCCAGAAAATAGAATTAGTTCATTATAATGAGAATTTATGAATAAGTGCAACTAGAATATTTATACTACTAGATAAATATAAACCAGGATTGATCATAAAGGACTAATAAGAGAGGAAACTGAAAAGGAAGTTTGAGCCAAGTCATTATGGCCTTGACATCTCTGCAAAGGAATCTGGAATTTATCCAAAGGGAACATCACTAAAGGATTTAATCAAGGCAGTGACATGACCTGATATGAATTTGAGAAGGCTATTATTGCTCCAGTGAGGAGAATGAATTGGATGGTGGTCAAGGCAAAACTCCAGGCACTGATAACAGTTCAAACCCTAATGAAACAATTGCTGAAGGAGAAGGAGATTTAGACTAAGTAATGATAAAGGGGGAAGTGACAGGACATGGGGTTTGATTGGATATGCAGATGGAGGGAGATGGAGAAGTTAAGGATGACTCAAGGAATTTGACTTGGGCATATAGTTCAATGTAAGGACGTGTGAAGACAGAACTGGAGAGACCATATGAGAAATTTCAGGGGGAGATAGTAAACTAAACTTTAAATCTACTGAGATTAAAGTACTTACAATCCTTCTCAGTAGCTATATCTGGTCTACCGTTAAACACTTTTATAGTCATGTAATGGCCTGACCTGAAGAAAAATTGTGTCTCAAAATATAGATTGTGCTTGAAGCCAAAAGAGTAAATGAGACCAACCATCAGTGGCTGGGGAATGAGAAGAATAGAGGGCTAGAAAAAAATATGTCTCTAGAAGCATAAAGCAGATCACTTATTGAGTATTACTTTACTTCATTTATTTTTCTGAAAGCAATAATGAAAACTTGGGTTTTAATAATGAAAGTCCTGTATAATTGAGAGAACAAATAATCTCTGATAATCAAATAGTTCTAATATCCATAGTTATGTCTGATTGACTGAAGCAGTGCTTTCTTCAAATGTTTTCTGCCATTTGATAGTTTACTAACATCATTCCATGGACTTTACATACATACCTAGAATTTGACATGTGATTTTCATGTAGTTTGTTTTCTGTTTAGAAACATCGATATGTATTTAGATTTAGCAGGTAACTACTGATTTCCTAATATTCTAATAGTTTTCTCTCAGCTGGTAGAAGTAATATATTAAAATGGCCATTTGAAACTAAAATTTTACAATTAGAAGAAACACTGATTTATTCCCATCAAATTATGTATTCTATGCATTCAAATTATTTTCCTTTTAATATCAACTATTGCCTTCCTGATTAAAATAATTCTTCCCATTACTATTTTTTGACTAAATACACTATAACCATTAAAGAACATTAGAGTTAAAGGATAATACATATTTTAGTAATTTAAAAATATAATATTATGGTGATCAAGGTATGATTATGTGCATCCCTCTCTAAATTTGAACTTCTTAAATTGATAATTGCTTCCCACCCTAATTTCCAGCCACATGCTTAAATAGATCTTTTAATTGACCTTGAAACATTCTAAATTTTTACGAGTTCTGAGTTACTCCAGGACTTCTTGTGATTTTAAATTTAAAATTCCTTGCAGATTCTGTTTCTCCAGGCTTTTCTTGGAGAAAAGGAAAATTTGCCAGGGGAAAGCATCTTCATGAACATTTGTGTCTCTCTTCTTAGGGTCAACCTAAAGAAGAATTAAACATGATGGGAAAGCTTGTGGAGTAGTCCCCCCTTGTCCACGGGGGATACATTTCAAGACCCCTAGTGGATGCTTAAAACCACAAATAGTTCCAAACCCTATACTGTTTTTCCTAAAAAAAAAACAAAAAACCTATGATAAAGTTTAATTTATACCATAAGCATTTAATTTATAAATTAAGAGATTAACGACAATTGCTAACAATAAAATAGAACAATTATACAAATATACTATAATAAAAGTTGTGTGAATGTGGCCACTCTCTCTCAATTTAGCTTATTGTACTGTACTCACCTTTTTTCCTTTTATGACATGACACAATGCCTAGGTGATGAGATGCAATGAGGTGATGTAGGGTTAGGCTACTATTGACCTCTGATAAAATGTCAGAAGGAGGATCATGTGCTTCCAGTCCATGGTTGACCACAGGCAAATGAAACTGCAGAAGGCAAAACTGTGGATAAGGATGGGGGGAGGCTACTGTACTTCTTGAGCTGAAAATCATGTCCATTGCTTTATAATCAATATTTTCTGGTATCCTCTGAATCTACGTATTTCCACTCTTTGTTAATTATCTCTTGCTTACCTATAGGAGGCATAATCCTCCCATAGCCTGATCACTCTCCTATTTGTATTTGCAGCCCCAACTAGAACTGGTATGGCATTTAGGAATTGCATTAAGGACTTGCTATGGAAGATGAACTCCAAATCTGAATTGAACTCCGAACTGCCTGATATCACAGCAGTTTATTTCTCAGTTACATGAAGTCTGATTGGTAGCAGGGGTAGGGGTAAGATTGTACTCCATGCATTCATTCAGTGCTCTAGACTGAGGGATGATCTATCTTTTTCTCGTGTGGTTTCCATGTTTGCCCTAACTGATCAAACCAGCAGATAGGGGAAGAGCAGTAAACACTGGAATAGGTCCAAAAAGTAACCTTTAATGGTATAACGGTAAATATCCCAGAGATGAACACCTTAAACTAATGGCATTTCTACTTTACTAAAAGGTCCAAGGGTGTCGAGGATGTATCTCTCTTATCTACCAGAATATCTCAAATACTGTACATGCCAAATAAATGATGTTCAATGATGTATTAATTAATGAAATTGAAGACATTGCTTTTGCAACCTGTTTTAAAAAAGGAGTAGAGGTCAGACCGTTCTTTATTTGATAAGAAGGGAAAAGGTTTTAACACTGCAACAAAATTGTGATGATTAAAAACTCAAGCCAGACATTGTGGAAACACTGTCAGGCTGAGATGGTGCCTAGGCTAGCCAGGTTATCTTAAGCAATCAACTAATGCATGCCCCGTAACAGCTTATTTTTAATGTATATTCATGTGCATATACTCACACCTAAGATGGAATCTTGAAATAAAATTAAGTCTAATCTGTTCATTCCTAAAGTGGATTATCTGCATTTAGAAAAAAAATTCAAATAAATTTGAGATATGGCCATTTTATATGTCCTCTATGTGGCTTGAATATTATTGTACCATTTAGCTGCCTCCTCAGAGTATGCAAAATTATTAGTTTAATTATTGTGTGAGGAAGGCTGTTCAATCAATTTTCTAACCCTTTTCCATACACAAGTTGCTACATATTTGCAGTCAAAATGTCTTCATGTCTGTAATATCTAATCTTGCAGCATTGTTCTTTTGTGTATCATTTCTGCATTCAAAGTACCAAGGGCAAAATAATAGCCTAAGCATTTTATGTGGAAATAAAGTCTTGAATGTGTTTTAGAAAAAAGGTGTAACAAGGCAGTGTGGAGTGGAAAAATTGAAGCCATGAAATTACATTTTACTTTCAAATTTGAATTTGTTTGTTGATGAAAAGTTTGATAGTGTCAGACAAGTGCCATATTTTAACTCTTAGCCATTTAGAGCACACTGGACTCTGCTTTCAATTACTGGTATCATTTCCTCCCCTTTGCTTACTTTCCAGATCGATTTGCTATGCTAGCCAACAATAATCTGCAGATTCTCAACATCAATAAAAGCGATGAAGGTATATACAGGTGTGAAGGAAGAGTGGAGGCTAGGGGAGAAATTGACTTCCGTGATATCATCGTTATTGTTAATGGTAAGCAGAGAATAATTTGTACCTGTTTTATTATTGCATGTTAGCAATATATTTATTTGTAGCCATGCAAATACAGCACTCTAATACACCTCTTCTCAACCTCAAGGAAATCTCCTGACCTCAGTGATAGCATCTGTTACATTGTGTATAGCCTCAAGGGCAGGATCCGTGGCTTATTCAACACCATCATCTTTTTTTACAGAGTCTTGAAAGAGAGTAGTTGCCTTTTGCTGGCTTTGTAGTTGTTGAAAGAATGCCAAGTGAAACATAGTAAAGTATCATACTAGATTTTACTTTTAAATTGCATGAATCACTTGTTGCTTAAACTAATCTATTTAATAGTTTTGTAGGTTTCTCAAATTTAAAATTAATAATTGATTCCACAAGGAGATTAATAACTAAGTTTATGGCATCATGATGACACTTCTTCCAAACTTGGCTTCTCCTGCTTTATTTCCTGCCTGTGTTAACATGACATTCTGTGAGCCCAGAAGATATTTTAATGTTGTCCTAGCTGTCTCTATTTTGGTAATCTAATCTGTAAATGACATGTGCACCACATGTTTTTAACAACTCTCAAATATATTCTACCATGATGCTCTCCGTAGGAGTGCAGCCCTTTCAAATTGTTTTTTCTTTTTCTTTCTCTTGAATTGCTACAAGTTGTTTCCTCTACTCTCAGGTTCATAATTTCAACTTCTTCTCCATCCAACCTCTCAACAGTAAATTTGTCAATGATTCCCATTACCTTGGAGACAAAGTCAAGACTGCTTTTCTTGGCATAGGAAGCCTTTTATAATCACAAGCCCTCTTCCCTAACATCCAGCCATGAGCAGCCTATGCTTTAGCCATATGGAAATACTAGTAGTAACACTACACAAATGCACTGTTCTTTTTTCTTCTGTTTTAAAATAACGAGTTAGGAGTGCTTGGGTGGTTCAGTCAGTTAAGCATCCAACTCTTGATTTCAGCTCAGGTCATGATCTCAAGGCTGTGAGATTGAGCCCCATGTCAGGCTCTGTGCTGGGCATGGAGCCTGCTTAAGATTCACTCTCTACCTCTCCCTCTGCCCCTTCCACTCTAAGAAATAAAAAATAAATAAAATAAAATAAAATAAAAAAATAAAATAACAAATTTGTGATAACTATAATGACAGGATTCTATAAGCAGAATGTCATTTGTTCTTTTTAGAATAGACAAAATATAAAATTAAGGAGTTGGCCGCATGTTTCCTATGAGTTAGGGCAAGCATGGAGAAATAAATCTGTGTTTTCTTCTATATCCTATCCCCATCTTGCCATGAACTATCTCTCCAGTTTCTTGAAGACTGGAGAACACTAGGAATCTCATATAGATTTAAAAGAGTTCATTGGCTGAGTAATATTCCATTGTGTACATGTACCACATCTTCTTTATCCATTCATCTGTCGATGAACACCTGGGCTCTTTCCATAGTTTGGCTATTGTGGACATTGCTGCTATAAACATTGGGGTGCAACTGCCCCTTTGGATCACAATGTTTGTATCTTTTGGGTAAATACCCAGTAGTGCAGTTGTTGAGTTATAGGGTAGTTCTATTTTTAACTTTTTGAGGAACCTCCATACTGTTTTCCAGAGTGGCTGCATCAGCTTGCATTCCCACCAACAGTGTAAGAAGGTTCCCCTTTCTCTGCATCCTTGCCAACATTTGTTGTTTCCTGACTTGTTAATTTTAGCCAGAAATCTTACTATTTGCAACAACATGGGTGGAACTGGAGGGTGTTATGCTGAGTGAAATAAGTCAATCAGAGAAAGACAATTATCATATGGATTCACTCATACGTGGAATTTAAGAAACAAAACAGAGGATCATAGGAGAAGGGAGGGAAAAATAAAACAAGATGAAATCAGAGAGGGAGACAAACCATAAGAGACTCTTAATCATAGGATACAAACTGAGGGTTGCTGGGGGGGAGAGTGGGAGGATGGTGTAACTGGGTGATGGGCATTAAGGAGGGCACATGATATAATGAGCACTTGGTGTTGTATGCAGTTGATGAATAACTGAACTCTACATCTGAAACTAATGATGTACTATATGTTAATTAATTGAATTTAAATAAAATAGGAGAATATAAATAAAATAAAAGTTCGTTGGTCTTTCACTACCTGCAGCAAAGGTAGTTTGACCACAAAGTTCATGCTGAAAGAGAAAGACAGTATGAGAACACTGCTATCTTTTTCTCTCCTTCTCTAAGTCTGTAATTAATTGAGATTTGTGGATAATATAATGGAATAGACCAGACAGTATGACTTGGAAACCAGGCAGGCTGGTAGAAATTGCACATGCTTATGGAGGAGGCCAAAGGGTCAGGCCTTCAGAAGCGAAGTTTTTCTTTTTTAGAAGTGCAGAGTCTAGTATTTATTAGGAGTACACAGTCAGAGGTTTTGACCTTCAACACATGGGGAAGATTTCAGTGCATGAAGAATAGGTTTAAAATGGAAGCATGTATCTATATATGTATCTCCATCTATTTCTATTACCAATAAGCATCTCTAAACTATTTCTGTCTATTATATACAGTAAACAAAGATAACTTACACTATTTAGTTTAACTATTGACAACTCTCTACTGTGCTTTATTTTGAAAATAATTTATGTTGGCATATAAAAGTATATTTTGTCACAGAAAAATCATTGTGCTGAGTATTCTTTTATAAAAACGGGGATTATAATATTAGTTTTTAATGTAAAATTTTGGAGGCAGTATATAAATATTTATTATTATATGTTATATGCATGTCAAATTATGCACATATTTTTGCACTAAAACAGTAACTCAAGTCTGATATTAAAAAGGAAGTGTTGGGATACCTGGGTAGCTCAGTTGGTAAGCGTCTGCCTTTGGCTCAGGTCATGGACCCACTGGGGTCCTGGGATCAAGCCCTGCATCAGGCTCCTTGCTCAGCAGAGAGCCTGCTTCTCCATCTGCCTGCCGCTCTCCCTGCTTGTGCTTTCTCTCTTTCTCTGATAAATAAATAAATAAAATCTTAAAAAAAAAAGAAAAAAGGAACTGTTATCGAGCAGACATAGCATGTTCACCCTTCATTAACTATTTTGCTATTATAACTTTTACCTTAATATATTTAATAAGTGTTCTAATCTGTTTCCATACTAGTTTATCTGTGAATGTTTATACATGATTATATTTATTTTGAAGGAAGCATTTTTTGGGTATGAGTGTCTTCAGTTAACAAAATTTGAATATTCAAGTCCATCATGGTGTGCACTCAAACTGGAATATTTAGTTCTGTATGTCTATTCCTATTATGTCAGCGTTCACAAGTAGATAACATGGGATTGTGTTCTTTTGTGCCACTCAAATCAATCACGTAGGTGGTTTTCTGTTCTGTCTGCATCACACTGAGCCTCCCAAAGGCAAATCATTCTCCTTCCACATCCCAATTTCCTCTAACAGAATCAACTACAGATCCTAATCTGACCTTTGCTAGAACACTGCTTTATCTCCACTTCTTCTAATTAGTCACATTTTCCCTTTATGGTCACAAAACTCTCATACCTTAGAATTCCTGGTACCACTTTTCTTCAAAATAACAGTGTTCACAAAAATCAACCATTGATTTATTCCTCTTCTGATGCAGTTGGATCCTGTCAAGGGAATGCATTGACTAATGCCACTGGTTCATCTGTGCTTTGCTCTCACATTCTGCCTTTACTTCAGCCAGAAAAATCATTCTGCTCCAGCCTTATTGACTTTTGTGCGGCTTACTGGAGACCAGCTCCTTTTAAATTTTGAACTCTCCTTAAAAGTATCCCCCTATTAGTTCTCTCCTGTAAAACCTCTTAAAGACATTTCAGTGAAAAGTTCAAGGGTGCAAAAAATAATAATAAAAGCAATAGCTTTATCCACATTATCTTATCTTACCTCAGTGACAAATTTGACTTGCTCTATGACCTTTTCCTCAACTTATGTTGTAAGCCCTCTCTCTTAATTGCGACTGATTTTTATCCTGACTGATTTGGATTTTATCCTGGACCTCCTTTACTTGTCTCCTTCCCCCTCAAGTACACTGGAATCCTGACCAAAGGCTCCAGGCAACTATTTATGGACATTTCATTACTTCCTTGTAAAATCTTGGCTCTGGAAGAAGTTCTGCTCTTTCTTTTATTTTTTGCTCTTTGAAATCTTTTCCCTCACATTTCCTTTCTTCCAGTTCATACCCTTTTGTTTCAATAATTAGTCAAAGGATATTTTTGCTAGGTTCCTCTGTGGTACCAATAATACTAAATGTTAGGGATATTTTTTTTTCTTATCTCCGTCTATTAATTTCTTACTATATTTCTCAATGCCTTTGTATAGTTTTTCACAAATACTTATCTCTCCTCCTTTGAAGAGGTTATATGTCACTGCTCATTGACATGTGGATTATGGTGCTTCCAGGGAAAGAGTTGTGCATCCCCACCCAACTGATGACAAGACTTCTTCTGGCCAGTGGCTTATAAACAAACACAGTATACACTATAATTGAAATCATAGAAGAATCACATGTTTTTTTATCATGTTCTTTCCTTCTGACATGAAACTAGCATGACACAAGAAGAGACTTCTCCTTCACCTTGGACACCATGATGAAGACAGGTGCAGCATGGTCCCAGCTGATCTGCAGGTGCAGACACATAACATAAATAAGAAGTAAAGTACATTTTTTAAGCCCTGAAATTTAAGAGTCATTTGTTATCACAGAAAAGCAGACAAATGCAATGCCAGTGGCTTTTTCCTACTTAAAATAAGCAAATTAAATACTGTCTGACCTAGGGGTACTTCTGAAATTACTTCCCTGAGTATGGCACAGACATCTTATAAATCCTACTTTCCCCTGATGGTGATCATTTCTTATGATTTTTTTTATCACTTTATCTCAAAATATTGGAATTTCAACTGAAGACTTTTGACTGCAGTTTCAATATTAATTTATATTGCATTAAACAGGTGCATATG